GTCCAAGAACTCCTTGAGAATATTCTTGAGCAGGGAGAATCAAAGAGATGAAGTTAGGGTTTTCACACTTGAAATACAAGTCATTTTGTGATGAACAAGATTCAAATTTCAAACCTATGCTGCATAATCTTTACATTATAGGCCTCAAACTTGTTAGTAACTCCATAATTAATTGCTTGGACAGCTGTTAGAGGTCTCAATTTAAGCATTCAATGCAAGTCCATGCTTTATATCCATTTTGGGAAGAAAGTGCACAATGCAATTTTGATAAAGTAGCTTTTTGCACAAAACTTGTTCTTGAGCCTTGCAATTGCTTTCTTCTGATCATACATGTCCCATAACTCAAGAGAAGGTTGTCTAAACACTTACAATCACTTAGCCCATGCTTGTACTTCCTCTTGGAACCATACTTCCCACTTTTCTTCAAAATCAAGTAACATAGCCATACGTTTATATCTTGCTTTTATGACCTCCTCAAGTGCACAAACTTTTTCCATATAATTATACAAATGTATTGCAAGCTACCACACGATTAAATAAGATCTCAAATTCCCCAAAACCATAAATTGCCATACAAGCACAAAAACTTGTCATTTCTGATTTTTGAATCCAATCTCCAAATCCCCTCGTGCGTTTCTTGGCCAAACCATCCACAAAGCTTCTAATACACATATAAAAGCTATCCCAACCCCTGTTTTCAAACTGTAATACCATTTACATCATTCTCCATTTTCAAAAATAGGGCATCACACATTGACTTCTTCAGCTTGATTCAAGAACTCTCAACACAAAGTAAGCTTTGCAATAGCTTCCTGGAGGTGCAAGGAAGCTCACCCAATCATCAAAACACTTTGAAAGTAGATCTAACTCAAAACATGATCTCCAGCTGCAAGGTGAGTTTTCTGACTTTTCATCTCATTATTTAGGCATTGTTAGGTCTTGATTTGTGAAGATGAAATGTAGATAACTTTGCCACGAAATTGTAGATATCCATAGTTTGCATTTATATGGCATGAGCTTAGAGAATTTTAGAGTTGAAGTTTTCTGAAATTTTTAAATTTTGAATTAGGGCCAGAGAAATTCTCATTCATCTTTGATTGTTAGCTTAAGTTATTTACATGGTTGGATTCGTGGGAAGAAATGTCACAACTTTCATGTTTGAACTTTTCATTTTTGTTGAGAAATAAAGAAGATACAGGTCCTTTAGCTGGAGGTTGAAGATGAAGTGTAATCAGGGCGCGTTTTGTATCATATATTTATTGTTTTGCTTATATCAATGGATATATAGCCACCTCAGTGGTAAAGCGCGCGCATGTTCATCCTTAGGTCCTAGGTTCAAGCCCCAGCGTGACCTTTTGTTATTTTTATAAATTTTTGACTTCTTTTTGTGTTTTTTTTGCAGCATTTGGGCTCTTCATGTGGGCTTAGTCTTTTTTCTCATAATGCTCCTTGTCTTGGATTAACCCCCCTGGACTTTTCTTTATATTTTTATTTTTATTTTATTTTTCTTCATTATTATTATTATTAATATTTTATTATTATTATTATTTTCATAAAAATCATAAAAAATCCAAAAAAAAAAAAAATTTATTTTTTTTGTACTCATGTATGTTATTTTTCATAAAACAAAAAGATAAAAACATTTTCTTAAAATAAGTAAATTTCTTTTCTTAAATATTTAATTTTTAGAATAAATTAATATATTATTTTTTAGTTAAAATTAATTTAGAACTTAGGTCTATTTTAATTAATTAATCTTCATTTTATTTTCATTAAATTAAAACCTTTTCATAAAAAACCCAAAAAAAAATATTTTTCAAATTAATTCCTTTTCTTAAATAGTTTAATTTGATTTTATTTAATTTTAATTAATCTTCCCCTTTATTTAGGTCAAGATAAAACCATTTCATAAAAATCAAAAATCATTTCGTTTTTCATTTGCACTTGCACATTATTTATTCAATTCTTGCACAATATGGTTGTAATAGATAATTAGGTTTAAATTTCTTGCAATCCTCATTTGTAAATTTGCACACCCCCTTCCCTAATGATGTAATAGCGTAGTAATTTTAAATTCCACAATTTATCGCTTTATATACAAATGCTAGTAATTAGGGTTTTGTATGGAAAGACTAAAACCAATCAATTAGCAAACCCTAATCAAAGATAAATCAAGCATGAAAATCAACACACTTGCACACAAGCACCCCTAGAGTAAAATCTACTTGGTTGCCTTACAAAATGACCATGTTACGCATGTGAAGTATCTTAGCAAAAACAAACAAACACAAGGTCATAGTCCCTCGATAACGCTATCAAAAGTTGCCTTTCAAAATGATCTTAGTCCCTAGAGAAAGATGCTAAGATGCCCTGCAACATTGCTAATCATGGTTATACGATGACCCACGTCCGTCCCGTTTACATCCAAAGATAGGGTTGCTTACCAAATCAATAGTAAGATAAGAATATCAAAGGAAGGAGAAAATAAACAAGAAAGACTTCTGAGTAGGTAGAACGTTCCTGGTTGCTTGCTCAATTTCAAAACCAAAAACATCCTTGCTATATTCAAAACAAACACCAACACTTTAAAAAAACATCTTTCAAACTTGAAAAACATTTTCAAAAGATCAACACTTTGTATACATTCTTACGAACGAGAATCATTACAAAGTTTGCCTAAATGATGGCGCCTTTTCAAAATACTTTCTAAAACCACACAAAGCACATTTTCAAACAAAAGCAAGTGATCTAGCAAGTAACTAAGAGCCCATGGAAAACCATGAATGAAAAGGGTGCTAATACCTTCCCTTTTCATAATCTATCCCTCGAACTCAAGAAACAATCTCAAAGGTCTTTCCTGTGCTTTTTCACCTTTCCTTTTGGATAAAAGAAAAGTCGGTGGCGACTCTTGCTAACCGCAACATTTGCGATAAAACGCAAAACACTCAAGTCAGTTCTCCCTCCGCATCACATCTATATCACACAATATAATGTTGAAATCAGATATGGATTCATCTTCCATCATCTTCATATTTTCAAATTCAGTTGTGAAGAGATGGAGTCTTGACATCCTAAATTTGGATGTGCCTTCATGAGCAGTCTTGAGTATATTACAAGCTTATTTAGCTTTAGTGCAAGTGTTTATTAGCCTGAACCTATTTTGTCAACACTATTGAATATGGAATTCAAGGCTTTATCGTTTCCAAGAGCTTCATCATCTTCATCTTTGGACCAATAAACTCCAAGCTTTAAGCTTATAGAACCATCTTGAGAAGTGATCACAGGATGCTTCCAACCTTTAACGACATCCTTCTAAGCTTTGCAACCGATGGATTTAAGAAAAGCAACCATCTTAACTTTCCAATAGTCATAATTTATTCCATCCAAAATAGGTGGCATGTTTACTGAAGCTCCATCTTTAATGTTGTCCATTTGAACATAAAATATCCTCCCTAAAGCTCACCCAAATAAAACAAGGTGTCTGCTCTGATGTTAATTGAAATTATGTTTCTGAGGGGACATATGTTGGACCCAATGTTGGAACAACTGGTCTAACAAGTTAAATCAGATTTAACACACATACGGACATTAACACAGGTTCAATGTAAAAGAAAGAAATAACATCATATATTGGCAACCCAGTTTGGTGCAAACAACACCTATGTATAGAGAGCACTCTACTCAAAAAAATAAAATTCAATACTTCGAATTAGTATAATTAGTTCAGAAAATAGATTATTTTATTATATATGATCTTCTCCATAATTCTCTTCAACAATAAGATATGATTTTTTATATTTCAAATTCAAATTTAAATCTCCATCTATATTTGATTTGAACATCTTTAGTTGTCAAACAAATTAAACAAACATTGATAAATTAACTGTAAAAAATATGATTAGATCCCAATCAGAAATTATGCACCAAACAACATCCATATGGCCTGGTGTCAAGGCCATATGTTGCACTACATATGCTGGATCATCGAGTTCCCCATGTTGTACTAGAACATCCAAATTAACTCTTCAATTGTAATATGTTGATCTTCTTTGTAGAGTGAAACTTGGATAGAATAAGTTTGAACCAAAAATGAAATAATATATGTCTGTTGTCATAGACCATGTGTTGTAGCACACATGTTGGAACATCGCGTTCCATATTTGTTCCTTCTACACCAGAACAAACTTGAACAAACTCCATGTTGTATTGCATAATGCATCTAACCAAAAGGAACATCATATTTTTAGGATTATTTTTTGACAAGCGAGGGATGCTTGGCATGGGATTTTTGGACATGCCTACATCAGTCTCCTTCACTCCCATTGTTTCATAGAATAATGGGCTATGAACCTTGACTATATAATCATGGTTATGTCGATTTCCATTATCAACTACCTCTTCCTCATAGGTTTTCTTTTTTAGAACTCGAATTTTCAACAATAACAACACGATGATTGTTGACACCCCGTGGAACCCTAACATGTTCTCATTCATTGTCTTTTGGCTGATTCCCGTTGTTTTTGGCGTTTTCACCCGATTTTCTAAATTTGCCCCCTATTAAGTCAAAGCAGTTATAATTGTGGTAAAAGCCGCTGTAATTCTCTCAAGATCTGCTCTGCTCACCAGTTGATCTGTCATGTTTGTCAAACTGCAAAAAAAATAGAAGAAAATCTGCTCTGATGCTGACTGACACAGTTGAAAACACGAAAGAAATAACAAGCGCTAACTCTAGAATAAATCATAAGTTTGCAAGCGACAAACTTGTCAAATAAAACTGAAATCCATTAGAAAGAAGGAAACTTTGAATTTTATTATAAGGAAAAATATTCCTTATGGTCACACCATAGGTCTTTAAGTCAAGAAAACAAAGAAACCCTAGTGGATCTTATGAACCTTTAATTAAAACAGAATTACATAAATAAAATGCGAAAACACTAAAATCCTGGATTTAGACATGAATCAAAAATCCTGGATTTAGACATGAACCAAACTCGGATGAGTTAAAAAGCCTTTCTAATTAATGACATGGTAATATTGGTGAGCTTAGGTCTTTTATCTTTGGGCATCTGATCAGCCATATGTTTCAGGAAGCGGTTAAAAGCTTCTTTAGTAACACTTTCACCAAAATGGCCAGTTAGCATAGGTTCAGCCACAGCTCTAAAACTGTTTTCCATATTGTATCCACCATCTTTGAGTGATTCGGGCTTTTTAGAGGTAAAATCCAAATCATCCCAATTATCAAGTTCAGCTAAATTCACTTGAGAAGTCTCCAAATAATTGATGTCAAATGATCCTTGTGTGTCAATTTCCTTCTTCACTTCAGCTAGAGATGGATAATAGAGAGGGATGTTGAAAGTGTTGACCTTTTCTTCTTTTATGATTCCCTGCACCATATATTAAATAACTTAACCGTTTTAAAATAACCCTTTGTAATCTAACATATTCTCACTACTAAATTTATCATAATTTACCTGTTTGACCATATCATTAAGACCCATAGACATGATTTCCCAAATGTAACCACGATCCTTGTTAACTGGATCCTCACCGATTAAAGTTACAACCAAACGACCCCCTTCAACTAATTCTTCAGCACGGCACTTGAGAAAGAAAGACAAATCTGCTTTATATTGTTCAAGGTAAGCTTTCAAAACATTTGGAGGACTTGTCTTAGCCCAGTAAATGTGGCCTTTGTTGTTGTCTATACCCTCAGGAACCTAATTCATCACCAATCAACAAACTTCAACTATATTTCACAAATCATTATTATGTTTAAAGCTAAATAGAATGAAAACAAATATAAACAAACCTTAGATAGAAACTGAAGGCTATATGAAGAATGAATAAAATGCAAACTTTTATTAGGAAAAAGCTTATCATAAAAGGAACCAGGTGCTCCAAAGAAATATAAAGGACTCATTTGAGTTTTCACTTCACTAATAAGATTTTTCTTGAACGCGTCGTAAGACAAAAACACATTGTTGAAATCGTTCCCTGGTAGATCATTCAAGAATACTTTATATTCTGGAGATTTTTGCTTCTGTTCTTGACAAAACTTTTCCACAGCTTTTATAGCTTCTGCGATCACCAAAAAAGTGTTTGGGCCATAAGAACAACCCAAATCTGCAATTCCTAAACTTTTTGGCTTTGTGTTGCGGTACACGTTGGTTATAGCTTCGTCTCTCAGAGATTTTGTCATAGAAATAACCTTTTTCTGTACATATACATATCGTACACACTTATCCAATCAAACTTCATTATATAATATCACATTAATTTCTCTCTTTGAAAAAATACAAGAAATTAAGAATTACTTTAAGAGATAGAATTGATAAAACTACTAATAAGAATCATTCTAATGAGTATCACTATATTCAATAACTTACTATAATACTAAACAAGTCTTTGTTGACAAATTTAAAAATGTTATAAATCCCAACTATCTAATACTAAAACTTTTGTTGAGAAGCATCAAGGAAATTAAGAAGTAAAAGAAACAAAGGGGAAATAAAAGCATACAATTGGGTGAAATTAAATGTTAGTATTGAGTGGCATGACTTTAACATAAAAGTTGTCTTTGCTTCCAAAAGTTAGAATATATGAATGTTCTTTCTGAGTAGATAATTTTTTTTCACTAATTGAATCTTTATCTGAAAAACTGAACTTAATGACACTTTTCACCAAAGGTTTTTTTATAGCTTGTTTGAACAGAAATTTGAGAAAGTTCAAATAGAGATTCCATCAAATACTTAAGTTTATGATCCTTTAAGAAGATTTCTAAATACCCAATTTACTTTCTATGAGGTTAAAATGTAACTATATACGAACACACACCTGAAGTAAGGAATTGTTTGCATAACCTTCTTCTCCGTTGCCACCATTCATGTGCAATACCTGTTTTAGATCCATTATTGTTTCTTTTATCTTGTTTTTTGACAGTTCTTTTGTTTGAATAATTATGCCTTCAAGTTGAGCCAAAGTAACACATATATATAGATGCATCACGCATGATGTGATCATGTGAGAGTTTCTAAATATATTTAGGTGAACACTCCCCCTTTAATTTAGTTGGGTGCTGTGAACCAATCAAATATTATAATTCTATATCACATCACTTTTATTTTATTTTTAAATAAATTAAAATTTTAAAATAATTTACATTAAAGTATCGGTATTCAATTTAAATTCATGAATATTAAAAATGTAACAATCCTTATAATATACATATAAAAATACATTATACCTAGTATTAATTAATTAGTACGGATAGAACATAAGTGTATATATATATATATATATATATATATATATATATATATATATATATATATATATATATATATATATATATATATATATATATATATATATATATATATATATATATATATATATATATATAATAGTGTCTACTCAAAAAATAAAATCTATGTATAATATCTACAATTGTACATAATCCACAACGGAAGATCACGATAACAAAAGTCTTCGAAGCATCATCAGACGAACTTCTTCTTGCCTTTAGTCTGAAAAACAAAAAATGATGGTGGAGATATAATAATCTCAGTGAGTTTTCCCTATCCTATGGGTCTACTCAACTATAAACACTACTACAAATAATACATTTTATGACAGAACTTTCATGTCACCCAACAAAAAAATGAGGTGTAAACCACAGACGCGTCAAATTTTAATTTTTTAATAAAAAATACATATATTTCCACGGTTGAGCTGACAACCGAGGTGTAAAGTATTTATAAGACACATCTTCGAATCTCATTAACTACATTTTAACACTTTTGAATTTTCAAAATTTTTTTAATGACTTATTACCTCGGTCAAGACATTGTCAATTCATCAATCCACATGAAACAACAATGATCCGCGTGAAACTCTCACTAATCAATTAAAACATGAATGACATGACTATCCATCTTAGATGTAAAGTGCTGAAATTTAAACTTAATATATTGAAAACAATAATAATGAAAGAAAGAGCAGGAAAATATTTCAAGGTTGATTTCTTAATGTAATATTTTCTCTAGTAATTCCTTTTAAAAATGTTTAATGTTAGTTGCAGTTGTATAAAGTAAAATGTTTAATATTGTTGTTGTTGTTGTTGTTGAAATTTAGTATTTAACTATTTTATTAATTTTGTTTATTTGTTGTTGTTGTTGAGATTTAATGTGTAAAGATTCCATAGATTGTGTTGTTGTTGTTATTATTATTGTTGTTGTTATTGTTGTTTTTGTTGTTGAGATTTAATGTTTAAGAATTCTATCGATTTTTATTTTGTTGTTGTTATTGGTGTTATTATTTATGATGATGAGGAAGATTTAGAATTTGTCAACAAATTTAATGCTTTGTAGATTAAAACGAAAAAAACAGGTGAAAACTAAAATTTTGTAAACAAGACTTTAACCCCTCGGTTTTTGTTAAAAACCAAGATAAAAAGTAGCGCAGTTTTGAAAATCCAAAAAATGCAGTTGTTGGGGACTGAACCAATGACCAGTGCCACTTTTCTCCTGGGTTATTCAAAAACCGAGGGGGTAAAGTGACAGGTTTTTATGTTTCTATTTGTTACCTCGCTTGTGTAACAGAGGTTATATCATCTTCAAGCCTCAAGTGAAATGGGGTTATTTGTGGCAGTGAAAGGGATTTCTTTCTGATTCTTAACTCAAGTCTTTAACTTTTATTACTTGTTTATCACTCACACAATGTAACTGAGACATAAGTATCTAAGAGATATTCACATTGTATGGAAAAATGTAACTTTAGTTCACATAACTCAATAAATCACTATTCGGAAGCATGAAACATCAATCCCCGACTTGGCCTACATCTAAGGCAAGGCTTGGTCCACGCATGCTCGTATGATTCAACTTTCTTGTGGATTAAGATTCCCCATGTTACTCAAACTCACTTCAAGTACTGTCACTCGTATGGGACTCGAACTCACTTAGAGAATCTTTTTCCGTATGAGAATCAAACCCACTTAGGCGTCCACGTCTCCATGGGACTCGAATCCACTTATGAGACATCTCCTTTATGGAACTCAAACCCATTTATGGGACTAAAACCCTTTCAGAGGCACGAATCATTGGTTCAACATCCCAATTCTGAAGATGTGAAAAACACAAGAAGGGGGGGGGGGGGGGGGGGGGGGTTGAATTGAAAACTTGAAATTAAAAGCTCAATGACACAGAATTTTTATCCTGGTTCGTTTGATCTCAAACTACTCCAGTCCACCCGTCAAGGTGATTTCGCATCTCTCCAACGAGGTCTTAATCCACTAATCTCAACAAGATTACAATCGCTACTTTAACAACTGTTAAAGTCTTCTTGAGTACAACCACATTCCGGTTAATCTCAAGGAACACTGTTTCAATACAATTATACAAGATATGTGTTGTTGTGTTTCTAACAAAAACTGTTTATCACAACTGTGATAAATTACACAGGATTATAGCTTGGAAATGTAAAGAATATTGCTTGCAGCTTTGAATATGCGTGAGTGGTAATATGGCAAAATTTGTTCTTGATTTTGAATGCTGATTTTGTTTATATAGGAAGTGGAATGACGTTGGTCATAAAGTATGTTTAATGTCATTAACACACTTTCCATTTGGAGAAGATCTTGTCTGAAAGAAGCCGTTGGAATTGATGCTGTCATGAATGATCAGTAACGCTTCAGAATATTGATGATTTGGATTGCCATGTTCTTGTTCAGAATCAGAGTTTACTTTGCTTAAGCGCAGGTTCTGGTCATAAATCTTCAGCGCATGTTCTGATTACTTCAGTGTGTAGCTCTTATGGCTTATCTTCTTATGCTGATATGGTCAGAACTTCTGCATTCATAAAACATAATTTTTAAGGTGCATATTTGTTCTCTGTATTTATTATTTATTCTTTGTATTTGTTATCATCAAAACTCTAACTAAGGGTTGTATCATCAAACTATGTTCTAACAATCTCCCCCTTTTTTATGATGACAAAAACTAGATTTTTCAATTAAAAATAAAGAACAAAAGGTTTAAGAGAAACTCCCCCTGAGTTGATTACTTCCCTTAAGTTCCTTGAGCATCAGAGCTTAGCTGCATCTTTCATCAGAATTTGTACTTTTGTTCCTTGAGCATCAGAGTTTGTACCTGTTCAAACTTTTCAGAAGACAGAGGTTAAGTAATTCAGAATGTTTGAGACTTCTGTCTCGGTAAACCATTATTGAAAATATCTTAATTTCTCCCCCTTTTTGTCAGTTATCAAAAAGGCAATATAATCAGAGCCAAAATAGTTGAATTATATTAAAAAACGCGATGCAATGATAAGTTCCAGAACATAAGTGGTAAAAAAATTAAGCGTTACAAATAAACAGATTTAAAACAAAAGATCTAAGAAGGAGGAGGAAGTCGTGTGAACAAAGCTTCCAGCAAGCTCTTGATCTGAGTATTATACTCTTCTTGCTTGCCCAAAATGCTTTTAATCTCTTTGTTTGTGTCCTCCTGCTTATCCAACCTTGCATGGATAAGAGCATTTTCTTTCTTCAACTCTTCCAGAGTTTGCATGACTAAGGAAGGTGCTAGAGTTTCTTCAGAAGTTGGATGTTTCTCAGAGCATTATGCAGCTTGTTCAGAGTGAACCATTTCTTCTGTTGTGATCATGTCTTCTGGAGCAGCAGTCAGGGAGAGACTTTCAGATTCTGGTTGAACTTCATCTGAGGGATGAGGCTCTGTCCAGGGGGCACTATCCAGAGAGAGGATATCTTTCTTGAGCAGTTGGCTCAGAACTTGTTCTTCAAAAGCCTTCAGCTTAGCACTAAAGTTCTGCTGAACCTATTCACAACTCTGTTCCTTCAGCTTTAGTGTTTCAAAACTAAGCCAGTTTCTGAATTTTGTCCACATATAATCAGAAGCAGCAGGATTAGTCATCTCTTGACTAGCATGCTTCAAAGAATTTATCCATTCCTGTATTCCTGTTTCAAAAATCAACAAACTTGTACCAACATCTGATGTGGTTTCAGTTGGTTTAGGATTTGGAATGGCAGTTTTGTGAGAGATAGAAGCTAGTCTTTCCAGCACAATTGGATCAAGGACAAGTCTTACATTGTCAGCTGGATTGTTAGTGGGTGAAGAAGTGGGAGAGTCAGGTATGATGATTGGACTGGTAGGGGAGTTTGGTGGTGTGGATTCCAGAGAAGAAGGAATTTCTGGAATGTCGTGGATGGTGAGAGGCATGTGAATAGCAAGTGGTTCTGTGATTCCAGGTATTGGGATTGTATCAGAATCTGAATGAGGTTCTTCAGATTGGTTTGTTGAAACATGGTGAGGTTCTGGTTCATGGATATCAGAAGATTGATTCTCAGAAGGTTGAGCTTCTGGTTGTTGTATTCAGGTTGAGGTGATTGTGTTTGGGGAATTTCTTGTTGTGGAGAGAGAGGTTGTGGAATTTCTGGTGTGGTATCAGAGTTTGGATTTTCAGGGAGTTGAGAATTTGGATTTTATGGTACAGGAGCTGAAAAGTCTTGGTCAAATGAATCAATATCAGACAGAACTTTGGAAAGTTCTGGTTGGGTTTGTGCAGGATTTAGATTATGAGAAAGGGAGTGAGTTTCGTTCAGACCTAGAGTTTTTGATGGATCAAACCCTATGTCAAAGTCTTCAAATGTTTGTGGAGTTGGATGTTCTGGTTGAGTAGGCATGGCTTCAGATGTTGATACGTTTATTGATTCTGGAACAGAGACAGAGGAAGGATTACCTTTCTTTTTGGAAACTTTTGGAGTCCTCTGAGATGGTCCTTCTGCTGCAGCTTTCCTCTTCTTATTCTTCTTTAAAGTAACTTCTGGATCAGCCTTGTGGAAGTCCTAGATATTTATTTCTGGTGCAGTACCATCTTCCTTGCAAGCGTCCAGATAT